AGGTTACCGCCGATGGTATGGACGTGTCGATAGTGGGAACGCCTGACGAGAAAGAGTTGCTCAAAAAGATTAATCCCAAACGCGGCCGCAAATTATCGCAAGTCAGTGATAGTGGCAGTAGTAGTAGTGATGGCAGCGGTAGTAGTAGTAGTAGTGACGGATCAGCGGCTAAGCAAAAACAGTCTAAGAAATCGGTGGCCGCCGGCGCCGCCAAGTCCTCAAAGAGTACGCGTCGTAACAGTAATAGCGGTGTCGATAATAAACAATCGCCGGCCAAACAGTCGCCGGTTAAACAGCCGCCAGCGGCCAAACAAACGCCCATAAATAAAACGGCCAGAAAGTCGACGCAAAATACGGTCGCAGCGGTGGTGAACAAGAAGTCGACCGCAACTAATAGCACCGCCGCCGCAACGGCTGCGCCCACTCGTCGATTGACCAGACATTCGGCCAATAATAGCGGCGCTGTGGCCGTGGCGTCGCCACCGGCCAAGTCGTCAACAGCGGTGGTGTCGCCAAAGAAGCCCACAAAGAAGTCGCCAAAGACTACGGCCAATGGCCGCTCGCAAGCGGCGATTGCGGCGGCCGTAGCGGCGACCAACGCGGCCGAAGCCGCCGCTCTGTTAAAACAGTCGGCCGCCGGTAAGAGTAAGGCTCAACAGCCGGCGCCGCAGCCGGTGGTGGCCCACAAGCGGTCGCCATCTTCGCCGGTGCCGCCGTCGATGTTCACCGCCTCCGCCACTACTGGCGGTCCCAGCGGTGGTGTAGCCAACGCCAGCCTCGTTCGGGCCACGAAGAGTCAGCCAAAGCCGCCCGCAGTTAAGGCCGACGCTCGGACCACCGCCGCGGCTGTCGTCGCCCCTCAGAAGACAAGCGCAAGTATGTGTGTTATGTTGTTTACCACAAGTTTGTTGTATATATTGTCTATTATTTGTCGCCACCGATATATGATGATAAAACTTGGCTGTGGTTATGATTAAGCTAGTAATTAAATAACCGTGATTTATTTCAAGTTGAAAAACTGATTGTGGCGTTGATTTTAATAGAATTTAAATGTGTTTAACACCACGTTTATTTTGCTAGATTATTATTTATTTCACCCTAAATACACTTTTATTTAAATTAATATTAATTAATTCATTGTCTTTTTCCACCCTTTTTGTTATTTCAGAAGCGATTAGTAATTCTGCGGTCAAACCGGCGGCTAAAGCACCGCAACCGCAAAGAGGAGCTAAACGTAAACTGCCGGCCACTGGCGTTGAGCTCAAACCCGATCGGCCGCAAGCAGAGCGGCCACAGACCAAACGCCAACGGAACAGCTCGGCCTCCAGTTCCCCACCGGCGGCGACGGCGGCCACAGCTATAGAGAATGGCCAACAGAGGGCCAGCAAACGGGTGCGACTACAGTACCAGCCGTTTCAGTCGCCGGAACCGTTGC